ATTTTTATTTAAAAATATTTTTTGAATTAAATACAGTAGATATGTATACGTATTATTATTATATGAAATCATTATAATTTTTATTGCAAATCATCCTTACATAAAAAGACACATTAAAATTATTGAAACAAAGTAGGGGTTCTAATTATCAAGCTGTTATAACTTGTTGTTAAAAGCTAAAAAGTAGGGACATAAAAAAGGGTTCCACAGATAAAAAAGTTTAAAAACGCTGAAATAGAACATAAGAACATAATTTTTAAAGTTGTAGTCCACTTTCAAATTGGTGCTGTGACAGGGGGTGCTCAGGGGGGGAGGTCAAACCCACTCCATGATAAATATATAAGTACCTACTAAATACATATAATTTTAATTTTAATTCATAATTTATATTATTTATTATTATTATATATTTGTTAAAAAACTGGACCTCCTTTCATTCAAAGATCTTGAGTACGCCTCTGGGGGGAGGGGATAGACGGACGAGGCAATCAGAGAAGCAGTTTCTTTGCCACTCACTTCTCAACGACAGATTCAGGAAACATGGAAGATAAAAACTTATATTGGGAAGCTTGACACCTGCTTCTCCAGTGCTTCGGAAGATTTTGGTTAAATTAAATTTAAAAATCTAATTCATGATTTTTCATAAATTTTTCTTACTGGAATATTTTGCAGAAATTTATAAATTATACGTCTTAGCTGAAAATAATATTTTATAAATTAGAATTTACATTAACTACTTTGCCATAAGAACAAATTACTTAGCGAAAAAAAAGACAATTTTTTTTGCTTAGAGACAAATTATATAATATGATAGTAATAATGTAGTAGGTACCTATTAACTATATAATAAAAAAAAATATTTTGACTAACAAGATTTTAACAATATTAACTATTTATTTACCTTTAAACAGTAAAATAATATTATGTTATATTTAAACTAATTTAATTTAGAGAGCATCATTTTTAAGAGGCTGTGGACTGTGCTTATTTGTTTTTCTAACTTATAAAAGTTACATGTTAGTTAGAAAAAAAGTAACTTAACTCAAATTTAACTAAAAATCAGTCATTTTTTTAAATAATAATGACTTATTTTTAGTAAAATATAATAATACTTAACTATTTATTAATAAGTTTACTAACATGTATGCCGTATGGGATGCTAGATAAATTAGTTATATTTTTCTTTTCTCAATAATGGTTACTCCTAAAATTATTCTGTTCAATATCCATTAGTCATGAGTTCATGACTCATTACATAAGTTTGAGTTGACATTTCTGTCAGGGTAGTTATACATAACATTTTAAGACACACATACGTATACATTATATTCTTAATCACACCTAAGTTATAGGCGTCAAAAGTGTCTACTATGACCAGGGCTGGCTCAATGTGGTACCAAAATAGGCAGCGGCTCTAGTGTGGGTGCGGCAAATTTCGAATGAATCAAAGTGATTTAATTATTATAATATAGCATGCTAAATTGTATATTCATTGTTCAAAATATACAAAAATAAATATGTAATAACTAATAAGTAATAACTAATAATAATATACTGTTGATACTTCGTTTACCGAGAACGTTGCCAAATGTAGCTGTAGCACTTCGCATTATTTTAACTATGTCTATGTCGGTCGCATCTGGTGAACGGAGCTTTCCCAAATTAAAAATAATTAAAAACTATTTGAGGTCTTCTATGAATCAAGAAAGGTTAAGTGATCTTGCTTCAATTCCTATTGAAAAGAAGTAATGGAAAACCTGGAGTTAAAAAATGTACCGACTGATTTTGTTCAAGAAAAGGCTCGCTAAATTAATTTTATTTAATATATTTTTAATTGTGTAGTTATATATTTTTTAATGTTTAATTAAATACATATTGTTGATCTATGATAACGATTAACGACACTGAATGAGTAACGATGGTCAAAAATATTAATTGTTCTATTTCATACCCAACATTTATTTTAATTGTATTATTATTATTTCATATTTTGTAAAGAAAACTGAGGTCAGTCAAAACATTTTTTTTTTAAAACAAAACAATGGTTTATAGTTAATTAATGTCCATATTTTATTCAACCCCCTCCTCTCCAAATAATTAACTATTGCATAGGGCCGCATAAATTAGATTTAATCCGGCCATCCCTGACTATGACTAGGATAGACATGGGGTGTGTGCACTCTTATAATCTACTATCTAAATAATATTTATAAATACATTACATTTTGAGAGTATGTAGTTACACTATTATTATAAATTATTATTTATTACTTATAACTTTTTAATTATTACTATACAATTTATACTATTTGCGATATACTTATACCTTATTTACTCATTTCACATAATTTGTATGAATTGGTATTTAAGTACCTATTATGTTATTTTGATCACTATTACAGAGCCCAGAAATAGTGCTACACAATTTGATAGTACAATTTAGTAGGTGGTTATTTAAAAACATAAATTATAATTAAATTTATAAATAATATTTGGTATTTTTAAACATTCATTTTGGAATAAAAACTTACCATGAAAATACAATTAATTCACTCATATATTATAACATAACATGGAAAAAAATTAACTCCTTATGTTACTTAGTTAAAAGTAACTTAACTTTTTAACTTGTTAATGCCCAGCCTTGGTTATTTGTTCAACGCTAGATTTTCATCGACCCAATATGGGTAAAAAAAATTTTTTTTAGTTTAATTTAACGTTTTGACATTACATCAGCAACTTATTTACCTACAGTAATATTATAATGACCGCTACAACATGCATATGTAAATTGATACAGTTATTGAAATCAACAATAATAATAACAATATATAACATTCTAATGAGTATTAAATTAGGAGAAAAATATATAATAAGTAGTATATCATTAGGGTATGGATTGTATTGCAAATACATATTTTTATTGGAATAAGATATTTTAAATCTGATAAAAAATTTGTACGAATTAAATTGTTCTAATTGAAATAAACCCAAATTTACTTTACATATTTTTACATATTTAGTAAATAAGTACATACATTTGATAGAAAATATCAGTATTGTAGAAAAACACAAGGGCACCAGTTGCGTAATTATGAGAGGGGGGGATTTAGGTGTTGTATCCATGGTACTATAGTATATTTTATAGAAATTAATACAAAACAAACCTGAATCCCCATGCCAGCTGTACATAACAAAGATTCTATAAATGATTTAAGCATTGTATAGGATTTGAATGCTTATTTTCTATAAAAACTTACTGAAAATGATGAAACTAAATTGTATTCTCTCGTGGTGTCTAATGATTCTTTGGTTGAATTAAAACTGTGTTGAACCAAGATACAACGATCTGGGAAAATATCTCGAAGTCTTGAGGCTCTAGATATTTGAATAAAGACATCTACCCTAATATTTATTTTCTCCTAAAAGTTCTATTACTTAAACTTACTTTACTAAACTTTACCAGTATCGACGTCATTGTCAGAACGTATGTTTTCAACTCTGAAATTAGTGAAAACATACTTAAGAAACACATTGTCTGAGGTTTCAATCTCAATTAAAATATATTCAATATTTTTCATAGTATACTTTCTGTCCTACAGATTAAATTTAAGTGTAATGCATTACTTTTTTATTCTACAGGGTCGATCAAATGTTCTTGCTATGTTGGCTTTTCATAAAAATTTTAAAATTGACCCTGAAGAAGTTGGCATATATAACATGCTTATGTATTTTTTCGATATTTACATATTATTAATATTTTTGGGTAAAAATGATTACATATTTATGTATATATTTTGATTTTTATATTACACCAAAGTCCGTTCCCTAGTTATCATTATAGTGTACAAAAACCATATGGCAATATGATATATTATAAATCTAGGCTAACATTATATAACACGTCAGGTTACATATTTTTACTTAAATTTCATCACTTAAGTTACTTTTTTATTTAAAAAGTAGGGTGTTATAAATAGTTCAATTTTTAAATATTACTACAAAATCAGTCCATAACGACTAATAAGTGGTAAGTATACCATTGATAATTATATAAATTGTATAGTAGTGTAGGTATAGCATTGATGATGTACATTGTTAATGGCTTAATGTTGTACATACACAAAATGTATGAGTATTAATTCCTGGGATCTTTAATAATATTATTGAATATTATCTAAAACTTTTGAAATCGTAATTAAATTTTATTGATTTTTAATTTTTCTCAAATATTGCAGGCCTTAGTTTTTGTTAGAGACTGAACTTGCATAACTTATTTTAATAACATGGAAAATAATACATGACTTCATAAAAATTATTTTTAAAATGTAATTTCATTACAAATGTGTTAATTCAAATAAAATATAAAATTACTTCAGCGTAACTGCGATTGTAATTTGTAATTTGAGTTACTTAACTACCTCACACTGGTCATTCATAAAGAACAAAAGCATGAAAAACGATTACGATAGAAATGTTGTGACATAAATAATTATTATATACTACTTTGAATGATGTTAAAAAATATTTTCAAATCTCTTTAATACTTTTTGATGGAATAAGTTGTAGAAATCGAAGAACATATTTTAGTAATTACTAATTAATAAGTAAAAAAGTTATTTTTTTTTATTACATTTGTAATATATTCAAAATTGCGATGTATTCAATGCTCAAAACAGTTTTGAATAATTGTACTCTAATATTTTACATCACCTGTAAAGATTCTAGTGAAAAATCACACTTATGTGAACAATGGTAGGTTAGGCTAGGCTATATTAGATTTAAAAAAAACTTAATTTATTTTATTTTATTTATTACTTAAAAATATTTTATACATAAGGCACAGAAAAAATGTTATTAATTAAATAATATTTTAATCACACACATTTCCATTAACTAAATGTGCATTAAAATAATAACTTATACAATAGTTTTATCTTTGATGTTTACAATAATTAATTTAAAATTATCAATATATCAGTAATAGAATAATATTCAATTAAACTCAAAATAATAATAATAAAAAAAAATTTGTACCTATATTGTTAATCTATAATAGTAATTCAATTAAACTAATTAATGTCTACAAAAAAGTTAGGTAGTTAAGATTGATATAAAAAGTACTAAATTTATCAATATTGTTCGCCACCCATTATTATTACCAACCTTATTGGTATATTGGTAGAAAATAATAAATGAGTAAATTTATAATTCACAAAAACACAATTTAAGATCTCAAATCTTGAAATTATTAATTACAATGTATATATATACACAATTTAAAAGACATAAGCAATTAATACTAGGTACCTGTAGGGCCCCCGATATTGTTACTGTTACTGCCAGCAGATACAGTGGAAACACCATCACAGCCCAATAATGATGTAATATTCGGGGAATTTGATTGTTGTTGAGAGTTAGTTAAGCAAGAAGAGGCAGATGACACTATGGAAGAAGCATTGTTTAACTGTTGCTGCTGCTGTTGAATTGATAAACTTGATCCTCCAAGTAAGCTTTGCTGTTGCTGTTGGGAATTTGGTCCCCCTAATGAAGTGACAGACGATAAAATATTCAGAGGTGGTGGTGGCGGTGGTGCTACAACACTGCTAGTACCATAACAATTGCTACGTAATGCTCTATACTTATTAAGTTCATTAGGGAATGTTTGTCCCAAGTCCGTGAGTACATTGGCTTTGAATTTTTTCAAAGCATCAATCTTTCCTTTGACCTGTTCATTTTTATGTAAGGCTTTTTCTATACAGTCCTTAGTATAAAGCTGAGGGTTACGCCCTCTATCAATATACCTAATTTGAGAAAAAGAAACAAAAGCAATTAATATAAAAATATCATGAAAATTGCTAATACAGTGCACGCTGCTTATAAGACTCACTATGGGAGCAGCACAAAGTGAGTCTAATAACGGAATGAATCTTATAGGCAAAGTTGCTTTAATTTGAATCTACTTTACTACATATTTCATACTTATTTTTGAATAAATTTAAAAATTCTGATAAAAAAATCAAAATGATAATACATATTATAAAATTCATTACATAGTAATAAAAAATTATAAAAGATGTATGATGTTATTTATTATTTAGGAAAAAAATTTGTAATTTTGGTCACGATAACTGTGCCAGATAATAGGGAGAATGTTTATAACCCATGCTACAATAACAATAATTACGAAAAATGTGAAATGTGATACAATTTGTTGTGCACACACACACTATGAAGCATGAATTGAAATCAAAAATAACACCCCAAAAAAATATAATTTTTGAAAACTTATTTGTTTCTAAACTTTAACCAAAAATGTTTATTTTTATGAAATTTGAGTCTTATAACCAAATGTTTAATAATGTATTTGGATACGTCTGAACAGTTCCAGAAAACTTTGAACTATTAGGCAACTGAACCTTATATCCGTGAGTCTTATAAATGGCGCCCATTGTATTTAATTCTAATAAATATGGCTCAGATTATAAGCACTAAAATGTTGATTAAGTTATTATCTTAATAAAAATAATTGAATTAATTACTCTTAACCTAATTCTTTTTTAAAATAAAAAACAATCATTTTAATGATGCTAACATATGATGTAAGCCTTACAATAGATATTATGAGACTGTAAATTAGGGTTGCCATAAAAGTTCAAGTACTGACCGGGACATTTACAAAAATAATTTGAACATTTTTTTTTTTTTAATATTAAAATTTAGAACGCAGTGTAATGAATATATATATATATAATATAGAATAAAACAATAATAGTATTGAATTATGAAAGACATTAAAATTAGAAGATACATTTGATTAACGAAATATTATTTATTTATTCTGAAATATTATATTTTTCTGACTTTTTCACCTGTTTCAATAGCTCTGGTTTTCCCATAGCGCACGTATGAAATTCGACGTGAAATTCATGGTTTTAGAATACAAATATAATTTTTATAAAAACATAATTTATTATAATTATTGGTACTAATATTATTTACACATAACCGGGACTTTTGTAGGGTCTAGTGGGACGACCGGGACAGAAGTCATGAACTGGTGACATGTCCCGGTGTACCGGGACGTATGGCAACCCTACTGTAAATGCAAAAATACTATAATTATACTCACTCAAATACCTCCAAAGGTACATGAATGTCTTGTACATTAGATTTCAGTTTATTAATTTCTTGTAAACCAGTGACGGCATTTTGACTGTATAAGAATAAACAAAAATTAATAACAAAAGAAATTTCTAGACAATCATAATAATCAATAGTGAACAATTTTTAATACATTTTTTGATTCAATACAGTCTGCCCTTGGGGTTGGAAGTCGGCTACTATTATTCGTATTTGTCGCACATTTTCCACAAACATTTCCAACTGGGTTTCCAAGTCTTCCAACGGCGACGATGAACTCGACGAAGCCATTATCACGATATCTGATTGAAACGAGACGATGATCAATTATTTACGTATGACATATATCATAGTAGTAATTTAAAAAAAATGGAAACTGAAATGTAAAATCTTAACTCACTAATGTTTTAATATAGAGTACTTAACATAGCCGCCGACCGACTACACTACGACTAATCACTTAGCGTTAGACATTGTTTTGATCTTTGTTGTTATCAATATTTGATATCAATATAGAAACTGGTGAGATTCACTTCCATGATCGCCGCTTAGATCTTGTTTTTACGTCCCCTCCAAACATATTGAGCGGGCCCAGCATAGCCATAGAATGTTATACAATTATTATTATAAATTCATGTCCTAATAATATTAGAAAGCTATATTATTATTTTGTGGCTGACACTAACCAGTTAAAAATTAAAATTAAGTTAAATGAATCGTTACTTTTTTTTTGGAACTTATTTTTAACTAAATTAGTTACATTTTCAATTTAAATTGTCAATTGTATACTAATCATTTATTTTTATTTTTGTTCATAATTCAGAGAAATTTCGAAGAATATTCTATAGGAAATGTATAACTATAGGTTATTGTGATTAATGATTATTTTTTATTGACATATAATTTATAATTCAATGATTGTCATATATTATGAACATAGACATAAAAATATTATAATAATATTATGTCTATGATTATGAACATAGTCCTATAATTTATATAAATGTATCACTCTTACCCCCACAAATATGACTAAATTACACAACTCAAATTCATCATTGATGTAGTTTTCTTATCAATTTGAGTAAAACAATTTGTAGTTAAGTTAATTTATTTTATCAATTCATTTTTTACTAAACGATGCTATAACAAATACATTAGTTAGTATTTAACTTAACTTAAAAAGTTTAAAAAAATTGTTGGTTTTTAGAATTTTTTTGTGTCAGAAATAAAATTAGTAATTACTCATAACTATGATATTATTTTGTTGTCATCTTCTTTTATACTTCAGTAAGTACTTATATTATATACATAGGGATTTGCATATGCCCGTATACAAATTTTTGTAAATTTATATAATATAAACATTAATATATTAAAATGAATACGCACGTCCTCGTCTTTTCGTTCTATAGATATGAAAAAAAAAATTTAAGCTCATCTTTAAAAATACACGTATTTATTTAACATATAAAATGCTGTTATGCTCCCTTCAACCTTTGCGCAACACATAGTGATCATTAATACTTTATCATGTGACAGTGAACAATAATATATTTCTTTAAAATTATAAAAATAGGTAATGTTTTTGAACTTACAACCAGCCAATTGGGTTGCTTTTAAAATCAGACAGTGGAAATAAAAATATATATAGGTATTTAATGAATTTTGATGATTGCTATTATTTTTTAAACTATGAAAAAATAATAAAAAATATATAAATAATATAATATAAATAATAAAATATACTTAAGTACCAAGTACAAGCGTCAAGCAAGTAGGTACCTACTTTTTTACATTTTACCTACTGTATGTTATAAACTTACAATTGTTATTACAAACCATTTTCTTTAGGTATTTAAATATATTAATAAGTGCATAATATTGAACAGTGAACACTAGTCTAATTATATTCATGTGCTTGACATGCTATATTAGGAATATATTATGTCAATTTTTAGAATTACTATTACAGTATGACCGTGAGGGATTACAATTGTAAAATATTGAATAAGAAATACAATGGATCATCTATACTTATACAATGAAAATTCGATAAAACGTTCATTGGTACTTAAATAAGATAACACGGGCTGCAGTAAAAATGGCAAACCTTAAAAATATCATACACAATTTGTATACATTATAGAAGTCGGAAAATTTTAGGCTCATTACATTACTTGCTAGTTGTTTCATATCGAAAATAAAACAATATCTAGGTTAATGAAGAAAACCAATTATTAAAAAAACATTGTGATATTCGTATAGGTAAACGCACTACGCAGGTCACAGGTGTTAAAATAAATAAGTATATCACACTACTTATACACAATGCACTAGTCGGTGTCACTTTGGTAGATGACTTTAAGAGTACTAGATAGAACTATAATATTACCGTAGAACTGTTGCATAAGCATAGAACTACATACAGTATCTGTAATTGTGATACATGTGTCATGTACAAAAATTAAAAACAGTAACCACGAGAATCGAGAATAAAATTTAATAAATATATTAGTACTAAATCCGGTGACAGATATAAAAATAAATTGCTGTAATGGAAGAAAGGCTGATGGTAGAAAAATAAAAAGAGTAGAATAGAATCAGTGATTGTTCATTGATCGATGTATACATTATAATTTATACTTAATTATTGTTAAATTGTTTATCAATAAACACAATAATTATGTTAAGTTCATAGGTCTATGATATGCACTATACAGACATACAGTCAACTCATATAACGAAGATCTTGATACAATAAATAAAATTGTCGTTCCCTAGAAAATCTTGTGAACCATATAACGAAAAATTAAATTTTTTTTTCATTTCGATAAAACAAAGACTTTTTAGCCAAAGCTCGAGCTTTGTAACTTGTAGGTTATGTAACAGACATTTTCAGCTTTGGAGCTTTCTATTACGAATTTAAAATTTTTATTAAGATAAGATTAAGATAGGTACACGTCTGCTCAGTCATTTTTTTAAGGAATTTTCACTAGTCGACTATACATTTGTTATTTTTGTTCTCAAAATAAATAGTCAATGAATTATAGTATGATAGTATTATTTCATGTTCCTCTTAATAATTAAAAATTAAATCTTAATGCTAAAAGTAAATGGTAAAAATTAATAAAAAAAGTTAGGTATAATTTATTTAAAAGAAAAGGTAATTTCAAGGAAGATATTCTTTATAATATTAAACTGTATAATCTAATTATTAACTTGTATTATTTATAAAAATAACCACTTGTTTTACTATGCTTATTTCATAGATTAAAAATATTTATGAAAATTATTATCAATATATTATATTTTGAGGGTACCTAAACGGTTTTTTTAAAAAACTTTTTGATGAATGAACAATTTAAATGAGTTTCTTGGTCTGAAGGTTTGTAAGGTCGTTTCTACAATAATATATACATTTTATAATCAATAATAGGACAATATGTAGATAAGTAGGTACTTTTACTTATATTATATTCTTATAGGTACCTTCAAATTTATTCATTACCTAATTATTTTGGTACCTTGTATAAAAATTCTCCTTTATAAATTGTTTGTAGCCCTATCTTTAAAAATATAGTCAACTAGGTGGCAAAATATTTTCACTAGGTGACATTTGTTATTACTTATTATTAGGGTGCGGATTTGTATGTATTTACATATTTGTCGGGCATGATAATATTCGAATGATTCCTTTATAGAAATATATGTTACAGGATTTTCTGATTATTTTAAGCTATGTTAGATATTACTTATTTTCACATATTTTTACATATTTTCACATATTTTTACATATTTTACTCGTGTTACATATTTTTGTTAAATATTGAGCTATTTACAAAATTAATAATGTATCACCGTTTTATATTTTGTGTTATCTTCTCCAGGTTAAATTAGATCAGAATTTTCCGAAGTTGATTTTTTGATATCAACTAAAAAAATTTTTCCTTAAAGCACCCTGTCATGTAAATTTATTTAAAGTAAATTACCCCCAAACACCTCTTTCCCTGGAGCCAGTGATAACTTGCTGGGGTACTTGGTTACATGCTGCTGCATATTGTTGCGACAATTTAAGTTTCATTGAAAATATGATTTCCAAAATTGAAATAGATGTTGTTTCAGCATCCTAACTCCAATGAATAAATACTTGTTAATTTGAATGTATTCCTAATAATTAATGTTAATAAAATAGCAATAAAATATAGTGTTATATAATTTATATTTACTTACCTATTTAATATACTAATTTTATAAATTTTTTTTCAAGAATAAAAACATTTTTTTTACATATCTTGTATTTTTAATTATATATTTGGATAAAATTAAATACATATATATGTACATATTTTTTAATTTTGAATACATACAAATCCGCACCCTACTTATTATTAATAATTAATTTCTCAAGAAAAGAAAACTAGGTCTTACCGAGTATTCTAGTGTGGAGGCCCATGAGTTATTATGTATACATGAGTATACTTATTAGTAACATACATGGAAAGTTTTTTAAAAATTATTAATCATATAATATAAAGAAAAATATGTGTGTACTGTCTAGTAAAAATATTAAAATTAATCATGATAAAAAATCATTATTTATAAACTTGAAATGCTAATAATCAGAATATAGAACATTAATAGAAAAATAGATATTGTACAGTAATATAAATTCATAAAAAAAAAAGAAAAGAAAAAGAAAAGTATAGGTATTTTATAATAGTATGTCAAAGTCAAATTCACAAAAAAGCCTAGTTTGTAAGATCTTTCTTAAACCTACACAGTGGAAAATTGTGTAGGTAATTGTGCCTGTTGTATGAGGCCACTGTATTGTATAATGATTTTTAGCATACCTGGTACCAACACCATGACACAAAGGTAGTGGTCATTATGGTTTTATACGAAAAGGACTAATAATTTTAAATATAAATTTTTAATATTTAAAACATCAAAAGAGTTGTTTTATCTTTATTTAAAGTGATCTTAATTAGCATATTTTGAATAGTTTAAAATCGAGAGAGAGAGTAACATAATGAACTAATACTTAGTTTTGTGCACATTATAATATGATGAGACATCTTTTTACTATAGTTATTGCTGCCTAACATTCCTGGCTAAACAAACCTTTTTTGTAACAATACTATCATTAATTGAATGAGACATTTCAATTTTAAACAAGAACATTTTTTTTACTTAATCATAAATTAAATAAACCTGGTGTTTAGATCAACATTACACAAGTTTTACATACATAAATTTATATATTTTTAATGATACAAAATTATTATTATGAAACTTCTCAAAGGTTTAAACATAACTGGTTTGTCAAATGGAAACACACACTCTTCAGAATACTGTTTTACTTTAATTATGAAATATAAATTAACTATATGCTATTATTAATTGCAAGCAATTTATTATTATTATATAATTATATTTGTAAGTTTTGTAACGGTATATAAAAAATATTATAGCATAAGGGACCGTCACCAGGTGATAAATTTTATGTGGTGTTGTGATAGAGCTATAACAAACGAGTGCCCTTAAATTTGTATTTTTAGTTAAAAAATTGAATTAAAGATGAGTTAAAACTTTTGTACTTATAAATAGTATAACACAACTCATATTATACTTTAATATTTACAATAACTATTTAACATTTTTGCATAGACATATTACTTTTACATCACTTGAAGGGTGGGCGGGAATAACATGCTACGTAACAGTTTTTTCAATTTTCATGTTTTTGCGGAATAACGTGCTATGAAGCAATCTCGATATATTTTAAGAATCGAAAAATTCCCAGAATGTTTTTTCGTACACAATCATTGTGTATACTTCGAAACCGGCGATTAGTTGACTATTAAAACGTGCTATGTGCGTTAAGCGTTTACTATTCACTAAAAATAAATAATAAAATATTGTAGTGTTATAGTCGAATATGGAAGAACGTGCTACGTGCGTTCCAAATACATTAAAAAAATATGTATGATACAGTTTTCGTTTTTAGTTGTTCCTGAACATTTACGAATTGCTACATAGCACATTATTCCCGCCCACCCTTCACTTGTTAAAGCACTGTGCAAGATGTATATATATTTTAACAATTAAGTGCAGACATTTTGTTCTTGTAATACTTTCCTGAAATAACAAAAAAGGAATCACTAAATACAATACAGTATTAAGAATCTCAGAAATGTTTATTAATTTTCTTAGCAATTTTTTTCTACAAATAAGATTTGTAATCTAAACAATTATTATTAAAAACTACAATAGTAAATCAATGGTTCAATTGAAAAAAAGGACAAAATTCAATTTTGTAATAGAATAATATACGGATTAATATTAAAATAGTTATTATACACACACATAATATAGTAAAATGTAAAAAAAATCTTACTCAAAATAATAATTATTTTGTAAAATTTAAATTTAAATTTATATTTAAATATTATAATAGTATAACTTTTCACACATGATTAAATTATACTTATATCCAGAATAATATTTACTAAAGTAATATTATTATTACTACACTTAATAACTATCAGAAAAAACTGCTAGTCAAATTATAATAATAGCAAATATATTTGTATAATTTAATGGAAAAAAAAATATTGTTATGGTCCGTGGGTAAATTAAAGATACATTATTAAGATTTGTCATTACTAATAAATATAGATGTATAATAATAGTAAAAAGAATGTAGAAATCACTGAGACTACTCCGGATAAAAAAAAAAATGAGGGTGAATATTTTTTTTACTTTGAGAATAATTTTTTTTTTAGTTATAAATTTAACGCCTGGCTCCACGCCTAGCTACACCACCTCTTCCTCCACGACCTCTACCACCACGTCCTCTAGTAGGTTTTGGTGGAGTTACTATCTTCACCATTACAGGCAATATTGGTATTGCGGCTGGCACTGGTTTTAAATTTTCAATTTTAATGTCTTCAATTTTAATTTCTTCAATAACAGGTTTCTCTTCATTTTCAATCACTTCACTTGATTGTGGTTCACTTGTATCCATTTCATTGATTTCTTCTTTGGGATCTTCCAATTTTATGCGTTTAACAGCTCTGCCCTCCTAAAATCATGAAAACCCTGAATCAGTATATAGGACGATACATACAAATATCCCAAAACAGTAATGATCTGGGTCTAGCTGTTCTGGGGTTATCGGTTAAAATAAATATACATATATTTGGTAATAAACAAACCTCAGGATCAACTTCAACTTTTACAGTTACATCATTTGCGATTTCGACAACAGCATCAACTTTTTCCTCTTTTATTTCTTTTAATAAAACTTCACCTTCCTTAGGAGTATCATCCTTCTCAATCACTTCATCAATGCCTCGTTTCTTACCTCCCGAAGTAGCTTCTTTCATTTTGGTCATTGTAGTGTAATTGATGTAATGGGCCGCAGTCTGACAATGGATTGAAACTCGTTGTTCATCCAGTAAGAAACAATTACACAATCTACACACATATCCCTTTGAAGAGATCAATAATTCTTTTCCTAAATATAACATATAATTATTTCAGTGAATATTGGTTAGAAAAAAATAACATTGTTTCTAGTAATCAATTCATATTTTAAAGGGTACAACAATAATAATAATGCGAATAAAATGGTTATTATTATTAATATTGAATGATAATTTTATCATTATTTTAGTAAATGTATTTCAAATTATGAATTAAATTAAGTTGAAACTAGTTTAAACCTTTAAAGAATAAAAAACAAATGCATAATCAAAAAGCTTATGTGCATTCTTCTTTTTAATGAGTTTATTTTTTATCTATTTACTGGCCATTTTTAAGCAACTATTTATTAATATAGAATATATTAAAAAATTATTACTATGTATACAATTGAACAATAATTTCATATGCATTGGATTTTTTTTTACCTATGGCCACCTTTGGATCATAAGCCGCAAGTTGATTTTCTTTGTTAGTTGCCGATTCATTCGCAGCATTATCTTCTTTTAATGATTGATCAGCAACTGCATCTTCTGCAGTCGATTCTTCTCCCGTGGCAATAATATCTGATGCATCCATTTCTTCTTGTTCTTCCTTCTTTTCTTTACTTTCTTCATCTTGTTCTTTGTCATCAGTTGTAATGGCAGTATCTGCAGTATCTGCAGTATCTGCAGTATCAGCAGTATCTGCAGTATCAGTAGCATCAGCAGCAGCATTAGCCTTATCTACATTAGTTCCAGATTTAGCCAAACTTTTCTTTCCACCACGATGATGTTTTTCTCCAGTTCCACCTTCTAACTCTAATTTTAATTTAGTAGCGTCACGATCACCGAGCATTTCATATTTTTTGGCAACAGGCATCTGATCCTGATCTTGCTGGTCTTCTTCTAAATACACATATAATACATATTGTTTAACATATAATTAAATTTAAATGTAATAGGTATAAAAAAAAAATTAACCTTCAATTTTAATCATGTCAATCAGATCAAATTCATCATCTTTTAAGTGAGGATGTTCAACATTGCGCATTTCGGATACTTTCTAAAATTAACATCATTATATTTATACACCAAATTCAAGCAGAATAATTTTTATTTACCTTTAAATGTCCAGCTGTAAGCTTGTGTTCATCCATTTCAAGTCGTGTATGGAATAAGGCATCACACAATTTGCATTCAGGATGTAAAAATTGTTTAAGTTTCTATACAAATTTATTAACACTTTGTACTATATAATTTTGTTTAAGACATGTTTAAATATAAATTCCTACCCTGTGTCTATCGCTCTTTCGATGCCCAGTCAGTGGTCCATAAAAACGTACATCGCACATCGGGCAATAGCTACGTAGAAGTGGTTTAGAACCAGAGCTGCCACCTGCATTTTTACCATTGCCACTATTAGATTTATGTTTGTTGTTTGTAACGCGTTCTAAATCAATTTCTCTTTGGTTTTCAACAGCTTTAATTTGATGTCTCATAAAATCAACACGCATTCTGTATGCTTCATCCAAGTAATTCATCATCAATTCATGAGGTCTTCCGCGTACATGTTTTTCAAAAGACTAAAATAATGCAAAATTAAAAACTATGGATCATAGTTTTTATGCAATAACAATTTTACCATACCTCAGAATCCCACATGTGCTTGGAACATACATGACAATAAAGTACGGCTGAAGGGACACCAACATAAGACACTTTTTTGTCAGCATCCAATTGTTCCTTAGTTCTCTCACGATCATTTTGTCTAAAACATTATGGGAACATTAAGTATCAAATGTAAAAACCTATTTGTAAGATTAATTATATTCGAAAAGTTATATAATACCCTTTTTTGTTTTCATCATTAACTTTTCCTGCAGATTTACGTTTATCTCCATCTTTCATTCCACCCCCTGATTTACGGCCTCCTCCAGAAAATCTATTGTGTGGATCACCACCACCCCGGCGCTAAAACATTATTTAGATTAAAGCAATATTAAATGTAATTATTTTATTAAATATAAATTAAATACCCTGTTATCTTTATTGAATCCTCCATGACCATCTTGTCTTTGGCGCATACCCATATGGGACATTCTAGGACCACCATTGCCCCAATTTCCACTTCGATTTGGACCACCACCATAACCACTTCCTGACTAAAATATAAATTATAATAATTAAAAGGATGTTTAAGATAACTTTTCTATTAATTTTACATAGAACTAGTGAAATATCTAGAATGGTACTACTATAATAAATCATGAGAGGAATGTTCACTGCGTCAAACCAAACTCATCCAGTCAGCTCACCTTCGCAACCTAACCATGTTTTTGGAACTGAACACAGGCGGTAAACAACTTTTAGTATATAAATACAATCAGAAGGGGGCTCTGCAAGAGGTTGGATAATCCTACAGTGCTCCATAATTCAGTAGAGGACATTTTGCTTGTCAAGGAGGACGAAGAGTGTACAAAACCGCTAATGGAAAGACAAATTAGATAAAGCTAACCTATTGTTGTTTATTTATCTTTTATTCTATGTAAATTATGTAGGCTCTAGCCACCATATGGCTTATGTATTAAGTATATGTATTTGTTTGATGATTTTTTGGTAATTATTGTAAAATAAACTATGCAACTGAAGTAGAAGTAATACTAATGTGGTTCTTACTTCAATTATGGTACACCACAGAAAAAAAATGTAGATTCTAAGGTATCTAAATCTTATTTTAAATAATTTTAAAAATGATTTCAACAAAATTGAACGAATAAAGCATTGAAAAAAGAACTCAAATGTAGATAGTTAATAATTATAACTTATAAAGAGATATGGGCTAAACTTTATTTAACAAATTTTAAAATTCAATAATGCCTAGTAAAAATGAACATTGTGTACTTTCTGTCACACATTTTGGACTTGACAGTATGCTTGCACTATTTGAGATATCTGAGAAAAGTTTGAGAACTCATATTTACTTTATAAATATTTTAGTTCAATCCGTTTCATATAAGTTAAAATTTATAGAAATATTAGTTAAAACTATACTATAAGTTATGATTGTTACATGTTGTGATTTAAGTCAGTACTATTATAAAATTTAATTGAATACTTTGATACAATTTTAAAAATTATAACTTAAATTCAATATTATTAAGTTTATACCAAACACACTTTATTCGGGTTAAAGGTGTCGAATACATAAAAAGGTTCCCTAAACTTAAATTTCTTAGCTAATTGTTATACTTATTAACATTTGCCGGTGTCAACCACTAGTTGACATGACTAAACAGGTGCCCGTAGCTGATATCAAGTAACTGGACATGAGTGCACGGGCACCCATGGTGACATGCGATATTCTGTCTCTTGTTAGGAATTTAGGAAGGTGGCTAATGCCGTACTCATTTGTTATTTTTGTTGGGCATTCAGTAACATATGTCAATTACTTGCCATAGCTAGTATTAATTTGTCGTGATCTTTACATTTTAACGACAAATTTGTAACCCTCGCCCACACACAAGCAACACGACTATCGACAGCGGTGATAGGCCGAATCGATGTAGGCATTTAACACGTTAACAGTTTTTGATTTTTTTATGTGTGTAGGTACCTATAACTGTAAATAGATTATTCTAGGGAATGACTGTTCTAAAAAGACTCATAAAATACTTCTATAGATTACAATCAACGAGTACCAAGATGAACTGTAATTTCTCGCCAATTATCATACAGATGCTATATCACCTTAATTTAGTAAAATGTAACAATAATTTGCCTGACAAACAAGCAAGAGTTTATAGTTACCATTGAATTAGTTGATGTTAATAACTTGCTGATTATGTTACTGGCCATTGCCAATTGAGCGGGTGGAGGATGCCCACCTTGTTGAGACTGTCGCGGTAACGGACCACTGGAACCAGGGCTAGATTGCCAAGGATTAACTGAGCCACCTCCGGCTCGGTAACCACCGCCGTTGTTGTACCGGCCGCCACCATAACCACCGCCTCCGCTACCATAACCACCATATCCACCGCCACTTCGTCGGTTGTACGCCATCGGAGTGTTTCGAATATTAGAACGCAAACGGACGACAAATAATCGGTGTAAACTGACTCGACTCGACTATAAACAGTACCGACTGTAAATAGACGCAGGAGCGCGACAGCAAAAATCGATTTGAATGAGGGGCCGCAGTATGCCGTATTTACCTAAACACAGAAATCAGTGTGAAAATTGCAGGGCAAAATGAGTTTAAACGTCGCTAACAAATAATAGCGATGAAAAAACCGGGACGAGGTACCGTACCTGAATACTTTGAACACTAATCGAAACCAACGTCGTCGACCACAACAAAAAGATGGCGTCCAATCGCCAGTCCGCACTCGGTTTGTTGTAGTCAGTGCTCGATGCGGGCCGGTGTAGCGGTGTAGCCGCCGCCGGTTTCGTGGCGGTGGCGTCGGCGTCAATGGTATCAACAAACACAGTGTGACCAACATGACAAGTTTAGCGGCAACGATCAATATGAATATTATTGTGTTTAATATCATCGTATACATTTATAAAGAATAATTGCACTAATGCACTAAGGCTGGGGCTGTTCACGACGAATTCTGCCCCGTTTCAAGCGCTTCGTATTCCGCCGCGTTTTGTGACCGGTTATAGCCCATCCTAATTTAAAACAACATATAATCAAGAGTTTGCGGCTTTATTACCTCTGAGATAGTCCGCAAAACGGCATAACTTAAGCTGACCGGTGTTTTCCACCGTGGTTGGAAACGCGGCGTATTAAATCCGTGTTATAGCTAATCCGATATGAACTATAATGCATTTTGAATTCGACGGAATACGCAGCCTTCGAATCTCGGCGGAATACACCTTGTATAGCCCCGGCCTAATAATCTAATAGAGTGATTACTGATTATTCAATTTATTCCGTATCGTTGCATTTCCCAGTGCCTACCCATCATGTTAGTACTTAGCTGCCAGGCTGCTTCATAGACCATAGCAAACCTAACCTAACGATACCATAGCGCTATTAGGTCACTACCATTACGCATTAATTTATTCTAATAATCGTTGCTTTTTCTTTGCACTTCAGACACATCGATGGCGAGTGCCTCCATAGAACTTAAATATTTTTACGCATTGATTTTTGACCAGTTCCTCCGTACGAAAACGAAAAACACCAAAATGCTGAATACCTACTATAATAATTAATAGTAAAATTAATATAGTCATCTATCGTCTATAATAATATAATATATTATATCATTATAATATATAGAAAGATGTACCACTTGTCGAATTATCCCGAGCCTATTATATTTATTGTTGTGTGTGGACTGCCAGAGATCCAGATGACTGCAGATGCTGGTGGTTTTTTTTTGATAAATACCTAGTTGAAGACAATTTCAAGTTTCAACAGTAATATATTGTTAGTTTATTTCTATTTAATTTGAGTAAAATTTTAAAGATGCCTTTATATAGGTATATTATATCAAGTATTTAGTAGCATATAAAGACAATAAAGTATAAAATGTTATTTTGTTTTATAAGGCTACTTTTTGAAGCATAAAGTTTCGATTTATTTTTTTTTATTATAACACTTCGTAATTTTTAAATATATTATCATATAACATAGGTATATTTTTATTGTATTACATACTTGCAATTATATAATATTATTATGATCAAATGTATATTATATTACTAGTAACTAGTAACATATGAAGTAGGTATAAAAATAAATTTTTTTTAAATTATATTTTGTTTCACAAGACTGCTTTTTGAAGCATAAAGTTTAAAGTTCTTTTTTATTATTATAACCTTTGTTTTTTGTTAAATATATGCTTTATATTTTTATACCTAGCTGTATAATATATAGTTAGAAGTATAATATTGAATTAGTAGCATATATATTATGAAGTTTAAAATTGTTATTGTTTTGTTTCATTTAAATAAAATATATATAAATGATATATAATGTGGTTTTTGTATTTATATTTAGTATCCAAAAAAAATAGGCCAAAAATGTATTTAATTGGTGGGAGATGGCTATATTATATAAAAATTGAAATAAAGAATTTATGTCTGAATAAATATAATTGAATAATTGAACATCTTTATTATAAGTTATAACACTGTAATAGCAGTGGCATAACCAGAATTTTTAAATGGTGATGGGGAGCATAGCCAAAAAAAAAATTGTAACATAAATATTGTCACTTGTCAATGTCAAACAATCTTAAAAGACCATCACTATGGCAATTTATACTAGTTGTATGTAAAAGGAATACGGTCAAAAGGGGGGGGGTTATGACCCATTGCTCCCTGCCTATCCCAATGACTGATAGATATCTTAATACCTACAGAATGTCTACTAGATATTATTATATCAAAATAAATGTATGGATAACCATTAAATATAGTAGGAATGTAGAATGCACAACCATAAGACATTTTGTATGGATATCCAGTATACAAAAAAAAAACGGACATTTGGATGTCTCTTAAATATCTATTAGAATATCTATTAGTCGTCCATAACCATCCATTAGATATCATGGATATTCACCTAATATATCTCATAGATAAATATTAGACGTTTATGTTTGTGTGGGGCGGTGGGGGTGTCTGCGTGAGTGGCGTGAATGTGTTCAGATCTCAACGGATATGGGATGTCTATTCCGTTGTTTTGGACTAGCTCGCAAGTTTTTCTGGTGTTTTTTTGGACGTGTTCGTGGAAAGTTGTTATTTTCGTAAAAAATATGCAAAAGATGGTTTCATGTTTATGAGTTATGACTTATGAATATTGATTACTAGTTTTATATCGAATTTATAAGGGTTCTAGATGCACCAACGTTTTCAAAAGCCAAACACGCGCACCTATATAGTTGACATTTATTTAAATTTACCAAGTTCTCTAGGGATCTGCCATTTCGTAACTTAATTAAACGTTTTTTATGGTACTCGGATTACAGTTTATATATTGTTTAAGGTTGAAACTTCTAATCATACTTCAATGTATGTTGTTATTCTATCTATTCGTTATCATCGATTTTATGAATTCTGTGAATTCATAGCTTTTAACGGTAACCTAATACTATAATAGTATAATACTGGTATTATTTAATAGGTACCTTTTTAAGCGATATGCGTATAAGCCTTATAAGTTATCCTATAAGAGGTTCCCTGTGCAGCATAGTTTATTAGAGTACAATTAAACAATAAATACATATATCATGAAAAGCTCACCTGCAGAAGCTGTGATAGATCCTAGATCCATCATCTTTATAGTAATTGTCTAATAGCTAGGTATATGAGCAGCTCCCATTTATCTATCAGGGGGGTATAATTAAATAGTACTTACCAATATCTACTCTGAAAACGATTTAATTTTCGATATAACAGAGTCTAGATGAGGTTATTCAAATTAAATAGGCACCTATAATCTACGATCGTTGCCTACGATCTTACTAAAAAATAAAATAAAAATTGATACTAGTTTATAAAGGTTTTTTAATCATGTCTATAAAATAGTTTTTAATTGTATATATATCTACATTCTACATCTATAACAGGATAATTATCGAATTTAAAAATTATAAAAATACATATCAGCTCAATTTTTTATAAGCGTTTGCAGTTCTAACTATTAGAGATATTAGTTTTACCTATATTCATATAATTTGGTAATTTTTTTTATTCCCAATTATTCAGATAAGTGTTTCAATTTTTTGATCCTCTAAACTCTAAAGTACCAACTAGACTCTAGTTACAAGAGTCTAGAATTAGTGATGACAGAGTAAAGTATCAGGGGGTATTTTTGCAATCAGTTATCGAAAGTTATAACTTTCTTTTAATAATCATCATCATACAAAACCCAAACATTTGGGAGTTGTTTGAACAATTTTCAATTCACAATTCTATATTAAATTATTATATTTATTAAAGATATTGTTAACTCAATAACATTATAATCGTATAATAGTGGTTTAATTATTGGTAATTTATCTTATCCTTTAATTTATAGAAAATAATTAATGCATTAAAACATTTTTTTTTATGAAATATTAAATCTTAGTGTCGAATTTACCTCCAAGATTCCAATACGATTGTTTTCTCTTTTTTTAAAAGCCTTTTGCATCGTTAACCTTTTGCCGGTAAATTGATTTCTACCATTTAAAATTGTGTTTATGTATCTATTTAAACACGTGACACATGAAAATATGCAATATTGGGTATTTGTGTAGTACCTATGTATTAAACTTCTTAAAATAATTTGAAAGAAGAGTTAACATGTTAAATAGCTTAAAATAATAATTCAAATAAGATAATTCATAATACCTAAGAACCGAATGGGTTATATACCCTACCTTACTATTTATTTGATATTTTCAGATATTTTAAATTTGAATGATTGCATTGATGCTATCATGAATGTTTGTGACTATGGTCTGTCATATGAACTGCTTGTGAGTGTCAGAGTTAATAATAATTGCACTCAAAAGACATTTTATTATAATACTAATATACACTTAAAGAATTTTTGAAAATGTATTTATCATTTATTATATAGTAAAACAACTAGTTATAATAATGTTAATAGTAATATGTATATGCAATATAATATATATATATAAATAATATACATATTAATTATATTATGCTAGATAATAATAATAATAATAATAATAATAATAATAATAATAATAATAATAAATCGGTACTTGTAGTAGCTATAATTAGTATTGGTATATAGTACGCGTAAGTTTCTTTGTAAAAATTCTAATATTTTTTTTCTCTATAGCTATTTAATAAAATTAATTACAACACCCAAAAAAAACGTACAATAAATTAGAAATTTAAATAGTAATAATAATAATAAAAAAAAAATTATCAATAACAAAAACAATAATATATTAATATAAATATATATATATACAATATACATACATACACACATGTATATGTATATATATATATAATAATAATGATAATAATAATCTCTATTTGTCTTGACTACTCATATATATTTATATAGTTATAATATTCTATATTGTTTTTGTTAAAAATTCAAATACAAATATTACGAAAAACATTAATAATTTATAAATTATATATTAGTATAGTTTCGATAATAATAACTTATCTTATAGTTAAATGTATTTATATTTTTGAAAAAAGTCACACACACACACACACACACAGACAAACACACACACACACACTGCTAATGATAATTATAATAAATAATTATAGTATATAATAATTTTACATCAAATAATGTGTAAAACTCGCGATTGTTTTAAATTTGGTCGAATTGTTTTAAATAGTTTATTCTAAACCTTCACATATAATTGAAGTTGAGTTTTTCATGAACAATATATGTATAAATTGATAGACACATTTTAGTTGTGTGTAATATTGCAAACACACAAATGCCGTACGTATTGTTTTTTTTTCTTAATCCTATACATTTATCAAATAGGTAAGTTGTTGTAAAAAAAAAACCATAGGTAATTAAAATTTAGTAATCTAACACACGCGTACACACACATTATTACACATGCGAGTGTACAAGTGCGTGTATAAACATAAACATAAATAGTATAAATGACGCGATATTTAAAAAAAAGTCGATTCCATTTAACTGTATCATTGTCTAACTACTTTATTATGTAGGTTATTACCTAGTATACTATTAACTATAGGTACACGTGTGAATATAATATAGTTACTCGAACTGGAGTATTACTTAAATGTCGGTAAGTTATAGAAATTTGTCATATTCACAAAAATAAACATACGCATAATAGTACCTATCTAAAAATAAATGTGGAAATAGGAAGACAAATAGGAATGTGGAACACAGAGATAATAATGTTAATATTACTTAGAGCTTTCATTAATAATTGCGCAATGTCACGGTCGATGAATGTTAACATGTTGTATAGTGTACTTATAACTTATTATAGATAAAAAATAAATAAATATGAAAATGGAAATGAAAATGTAGGCTGGTTGCGATGATATAGGAGAAACAAATTTTAGAATGTATATTATTTCTATAATTTATAAATATAGTATTTGTATAAGACCGATTATACGACGATGACAATTTGTTGTACTTTTGTTATTAATTTTATTTTGTTTGTATTAAATATAGAAGTGATGGCAGAAATCGTTGCGGAATGTGTATTTATGTTCCTCAAACCGGAGGCTGCGACGATTGCTTTCCCGATCCAAACTTTCCGGTCGACGACGACGAAGATTTTATGCGTAGTGGACTGACTGTCGCCGTGTACGATGGTTTGTTGTTGGGCCTTCGCTTCAGCGACTCTCGGCGTACCATGTACGACACAATTATCAACACGGATACCAGCAAGACGGCCAGCACATTAACCACTACCGGTTCCTTGTTCAAGTATAACTTCTGTTTGATCAACTCAGATAATGTCTTTTCGCCGCCTCTGAAACACCCACGATAACAATATTATAGCTTTGAACAAAAATATTATACATATGAGGAACATTTTATGTATTATAGGTACATAATGTATTATACAATGTGACAAGTGTATATGGATAATGGACATAGGTATAGGTACAGAAGGAATTGCAGCTTTTCGTTTAACCTGCATGTATAAAATGTACACCTATATAGGAATATGGGATGTTACTATGTTAGTCACAACACAAATATGCGCCCTGTGCCTCTGTGTACATAAATTATGTAAGTATACAATATTTTATGTATAAAAAAATAAAAGTATAGGTAAAGTTCCTCAAGGGGATTAACCTCCAAGCCAAAAGCTTTTGAAAATCTGAGTATAGAACCTCTAAGAAGTATAATATGTTATTCTCCCTCATGTCTCAAAAAATATATTTTCATATGAGTGTAAAAGTAGGTGGATACTGCAATAGAAAACTAAAATACATACACACAAATTGGAAATCATAAAATAGGTGTAAAAGTTTAGGCTGTACTTTACTTAACGACGGAGTTTTCCAAAGTTGAAAAGCTTAAATCTTTTAAATAAGTATCTTATTTGTAGGTAATTATTTATATTATTTTTTCCATACCTAATACAAATTCAATACAAATATATTTCATTAAATCAATTATAATTTGTAATGTTAATATGCATGCATTTTATTCGGCAAGTATAAGCAGTTATGTATATTAAACCCTTTAAGGTTTTAGTATACTAGAAAAATCCAGTGATCCAGTGTATCGCTCTCTTTTAAAGAGCTAATTGCCTCACTTAATAACCAATGATAATTGCAGCACGAAAGATGCTAGATACAATAATATGGTATTAAATACTTCTGAGCGAATAGTGATGATCAAATGGTAGTGATGGGAGCAGTGTGGGGGATAAAGTCCTTCATAACCGTTTTTCAAAGTTCATGATAATATAGATTATAAATTATATTTCAAAGATCAAATAGTGCATGTTAAAAAATCGGCCACACCCCACTATCATTTGACCGCCTCTGTGAATGAAGTTGCAAATATAGATTAATTCCACCGTTAACAGTGCAAACCAGCAAAGAAAAAATACAATTAAATATGCAACTATGCAAGTACCTAAATATAATATAAGTTTTAAAATTTAAAATATAATATGATGGATTAAAGCTGAGAAAATGTAAGTATAATAGCATTGATCACACATAGTATACTATGACAGTACGACGTATATAATCAATGATAATAGTATAGGTAAGTACTATGTAAAATGAAGGTGTTAGATTTTTGTGTGTGCACATTTTCTTCGATACGCCATCACCACTATCGTCTATCACCTACATCACCAACGCCATCGTCACAACCATCGACGTCACGTCACCGACTCAAGCATAATATTATAGCGGCTTACACTTATATATTATATATTTTACGGTATTGAAATTCAACATACAAATAACAATACCAAACAACAGACTTCCAAATTCATCCACCATTATGATATATTATTTATTATGACGGAGTCAATCGTCTGCCATTATGCCGTTGTATTATTACCGAAACAGGTAGTTGTCTCAGACTATGTCAGTCGCCGTCGGAAGTCACCCCGAAGAAACGCTCGTTTCTGGGCATGTCGTGTTATGTCCGGTCTTCACCTTCGCTCACGAGTCACGGTTCGAGAGTTTCGGTGCTGTACGTCGTCTGAACTTCGAGCTTTTCGATTGGTGTATAAATGAATAGTATTATATAGTAATTATATTTTGTTTATAGTGTGCTTTATAATATAATTGACCTTAATGGGCTTAATGTGCTATCTGTAATGTTATTGAGTGTGTCGTCGAACTGTATAAACAATATAATAATGTGATATTTATATTATAAAATAATATTATGTTCATATATATGTGGTGCGCGTGTATCTGGTCGGTCGTTGGAACTTGGTCGTCGTTGTCGTCGTCGTCGTCGTCGTAAAACAATTTATAGTAGTTTAATTATCACATCCGGCCGTTGCGGCCTACGTGATCCGATCCGTCAGCTGCAGCTGCCGAAGACGGCACCAGTTGGAACGATTGCCCGCCATTTCGGCAATATCTCATGGTAGAAGGCGACAATGACGACGACGACGAATTCCTGCGGCAGGATTTCTTCTGCGACAACAAAGTGGTTGTGACAAACACCAGAGTCATCATCAACAGCACGCCTAGAATGTTGATTATAGCTTGTTGTGGTAACGCGTGACCGTGTAGTTCACCCGAATTTAAGGACGACGGAGACGACGACGGCGTCGGCGGCGGAGTCGTTTGCTGTTTCTGCTGTTGTTGCCTGTATTGATATTTTTAGTACATAATATATAGATAATTAATGTTGCTTATTAGTTATTAATATATGTATATAGTATCATTCGTGACATACGCCATATTTATGCATACAATTTATGTATTTTATAGGTGACATGCCTTATTCCAACAGATAGTATAACCACCCAATCTTGGGGTTGTTGGAAATTTCAAAAGTAATTCAAACGAATTCATATTATGGTGAGTCATAGTGAAATACCTATTAGTTCTTTTTAATTCCAACAATTTTTTATAAACCAACTATTCTCATTGCCCTAATTAAATATACATTATATATTATATATATAATTATAACATGTCAAAATAATAGGTATAAATATTACTTAATTGAGTTTCATGCAATTATCTTTACTCAACCTCCTCAGCGACCAGAGCATCAAACATTGACTAGGTAATTATATTTTGTAAGGAAATTGGGAAAAATTATTAGAACAACGCTTATTGTGTGTATATAATATATAAATACAAAATACGATATACGGAGAGTAGGAATTGTTGAGAAGAAAAAACAAGTATTAATTCGCAAAATCAATAGATTTACCTATATACGAAGTGCAATTGTATAGTTTTATGAGTCATAAATTATGACGGAAACAAAGTATACGAACCCATTATTATTGCTGAATATCGAGAAGTCGGCGCGTTGCTGAAGTCCGGTGAGACAAGTAGCTATGGCCAGAGTGAACGTGCACAGTCCCAGGGTGGCGTGTATGGGCGCAAAGCATCGTAAGCGACACACAGCAGTTGCTCCACGGCAACACAACAGCAAAACGAAAGTGAAAAATCCAAGGATGAACTGTAAAGAAAATTCGATTGAAATTTAAACATCTTGTTTTTAATCGGTGCATGTCGTGTGTGAAATGTGAATGGGGTGTAGATGTCGTATAGGTATTATTATTATTTTTTTTTTTTTTTAATTGATCCTGAGCCCGGCAACTGTGGCCATTAGCTATTAGTAGGTACTGTAGGTTTTTGTATTGATGGTTTGTAGGTTTTTGGAACGGTAGGGGGAACACGTGTGTGTTTGTTTTGGCAGAATTTCGAATGGGGCACCCGTAGGTTTCTGCCATGCCCCGGGGGTGGGGGATGGCAGCACTTGCTCTCCGGTCACCGCGACTTGTCCGGAGAAAAATGCCGCCCGGTGGCCGAGGATCGAACCGCGACCGGCTGCGTCGCAGCGGAAGAGTCAGACCACTCGGTCACCTCGTCCCCCATTATTATTATTTTATTATTACCTGAATTGTAAAAAGTATAAAGGTCAATAATCCCATCCAACTGTGTAACGAATACATATGCGGCAAGCCTTTCAAACGATGATATTCCATGGCGGCCACAGCTCCCAACAAAATACACGGTGCAGTGGCAATATGCAATAGTATGTGTGTTAATTTCACGTAAGTACCCCTGCACGAAGTCGAACATCCAGCGGCCATTCTGTACACCAATATAGCTGCGTGCCAACATTTAGGAAAATTAATAAAAATATTTATATAATTGAATGTGATTTCCAAAAAAGGGTCAATACATATAAAAGTTTTAATTCTGTAAGGTACAGTAATGATCACATGATCACTATTTACAGTATGAGTATAATTGATGTCTACATGCTAAATGTAATTATTGTATAATCGTGACGGTTTTATAATAATATAATAAAATGTATACGTCTCCATTAACTTACAGAATCCGGTTAAAGTGACCAAACCGATCGTCATCAGAGTCGGGTGAAGGTTGAAACGCCGATCTTCGATTGAAAAGTTTGAAGACGATATGTTTAACTGTGAAGATTGTTGCTGTTCCACTGTGGTCGTTGCAACTGTCGTACTAATGTCGCTGGCGCTGGTAGTGAAGTTTTGCGGGGGGTGCTTATAAGTAAATACACCGCCGGATAACATTTGCTTCGGGGTCAGCGGTGGCCAGGGAAACCAATTGGTGTCGTATCCTCCTCGGTAGGCCATTGTCCAGTAGACGGTGGTGCCGGTGACAGCCAGTAGCAAAATTGAGCACGCCGTTACCAGTACTACGTACTCAAACGTAGTTCCACATCCCAAAGCCGCCTGCGGATTGTTTGTTCCGGAATCTTCCGCATCCGTCCCGGTTCCTGTGCCGCTGCCGGTCGTATAACGTGTTCTGCACATAAAGATTGACAACGCATTAGTATTTTTATAATTTATATTTTCTAATATTTTTTAACAGTAACAGGCACTATATAGGTATTAGGTAAACTAAAATGTACTAAAAAGATACAGAAAAAAAGATATATATTTATTTATTTATCTGTATACCTAATACCTATACATAAGTATGTATTAAATAATACTGTTTACGTTGCAATAAACGATTACCATCAAATTACTTAAATCGTGCCTTTTGAAAATATAACTTTACACGATATTGTATATTTGTATGTTACAATTTTGCATTTCATCGAAACGCATAAAGTACAACAGAAGTCCTACTTCATATCATTACGAACCAACTTTACATACTAATTATGCCAAGTTTAAAATTTAAATAATTTAAGTATTCCCCATTTTAATTTTAATTTTTAAATCATGTAATTACTAAATTGTACAATATTACTATTCTATGACTGATATTAAAATGATTTATCCTTATTCCTTTGTAATTATATAGGGTGCAGGTTTAAATGCAAAATAATTTTTTTTAGCGTGTTTTAAATCACAATGTTGCTTTTTACTCACAATTTTATTCCTATTTCTTTAATTTAAGCACATAAATCACATTTTAATCATACTAAAGTTATATTTCTATTTTTGTTGATTTTATTCTTGTCGGCTATTCAGCTTTACTATTACTTTCTTATATATACCTACTATATAACGAAAATATAAAATTAAAAATTTTAAATTTTTCCAATATAACTTGTTTCTAAACAATTTCTGTAGGTAGATAAATTTCTTTTTAATTTTTGTAACCTCATCTAAGTAACTTAATGAAGTGACATTTTTTTATATTTTTACAGCATATAGAGCGGTGCCTTATGTTATAATTACCTACATATACCTATCGATCAGAAATTAAGGTCAAATGTATCGATGCGTAAAACTGAATAGTTGTATATATTTAATATCATACCCAAGTACGTAAAAATGTATTTCTTGTTTATATTTATACATAGATAATTTGTATGCACTGATTTATAAGCATATGTTACATTATGCATACAACATGCATATTGTTATGATTTTGTATATAATCATGTACTACTAGTAGATCACAAAAATACTTGCATAACGAACCCAATAATTATTGTTGACAAAAAAAATATATTACCTTTACCGTAGAACGAATAATTTGCTGTCGTAAAATATATTATACAAAGTCATATAATAATAAATATTTGTCTTATGTTACAACTAGCAAGGTGGATAATGGCCAAGAGCTCACGCTTTAACTATAAGGGCGTTACATTTTTCTCGTAATTCACAGCGGTGAAAATAAATTGAATTAATATTTAAGTTAAAGGACGCCGGAGTAAGGTTATATAGTAGCCACTAGCCAAGGGCGGCAAGCACAACAATACAGCTTATTGTTACGGTACAGAATAAACACGGCCAAAAGAAACGATTTTCCTCTACTTTTATTATAGGAATTGGTAGAGGTACCTTAAGATAAATATATTTATCAAGTCTATAAAGTTACACATGTTCAAACAAAACAAGTGCCCCTACGCTGGGGCCTGGGACTATATATTACAAGTTTCTTGGACCACAGTCTAGATTTTCAAACTTTTATTATTCAATATCCTAAGAGTTTTTCCCGTTTAGAATTTATCGAATTAGCTGCATACTTTGAATTTTATTTCCGAATTCTAATATGTACCTATGTGTTTTTTAAATAAACGAAGGCGCATAAATGAACTCATTTCAAGATAAAATCAATAAATTATAAAAATATTAAAATTTGTAATCCTTATTGAATAAAAAAAAATTATAAGGGCGTATTTTTTATGTCTGCATTATAATGAAACTACTAAGAAAAATTGAATACATTCGATTTTCTACCATTATTGTTGACTATTGAGGACGACAAAACATCATAATTATTTATTAAGCTCTTTCAAAATGTAATTAAAGCTTTTTCGCTAATTAAAGCAAGAAAGAAGTTTTTGTATAAAATATGATTAATATATTATTGAACCTTCATTAAACTTCATACTAAAACTAATCCATTAGGTACCAACCAAAAATGTTTTACTTATTTATGTTTGTTATCAAAGTAATAATAATAATAATAATAATAATAAAAGAGTATAGACACAGAGCTAGAGAGAGAGAGAGAGAGAGAGAGAGAGAGAGAGAGAGAGAGAGAGCTAATAAGAGACGGGGTTCTGACAAAAACACAATATACGTCCTATATATGTAGTCTTAAGTCCACCGTTATTATATTATAAATATTATTTTCAGATACGAGATACTCCCTGCAGATATATGTATATTTATTTTGATGGTTTAATAAAACATTGCAAATATACCTCGGTCGGCATATATACTTTTTTAATATAGGTATATACATGGTCTGATAATACAAAAATACAATTTATGTAATAATATTGTTTTTTTATTGTACTGCAAATATATAACCAGAACACCCCGTATTTATATAAATTTGCTTTGACCTCATTTCTACGATAAACTATTAAGTCCTGGATATTTATTTTTGTATTCATAACGTAAAATATGAATTTAAGATTTTTCGGTTAAAAATATTTAGTCTGAAGTGTGAATAAAATATTTTAATATACCTACGATTATTTTGAATTATCTATGTAGGTATAAATGTTTACATAAATGAATAATTTAAACCCTTATTATAATACGAGAGTCAACAAATTCATAAATAATTATTATTAATTTTGAAAAATAAATTGTTTTAAAACAATAGCTTTTAATTGATTTCTATCGTTATTTTATCCGGATATTGATTGAAATATTAATACATTTATTTTAACAATTGTGTCAACTATATAATTATATCGTCATGCTACGATTTTTTACGCTTTCTCCTTCATTAGGCGTTTTAACTTTTATTCGTATTACAGAATTATTTCTGTGTTTTTAGTAGCTGTTATATTATTTCTTGTTGCTCTTATAAGTACCTATATATATATAAATACACATTATGTGGATATTCTACGTGTGATTCGTTTTAGTCGTATTTTCGGCAACTCATCGTCGTTCGGCGGTGGCACATTGTTCAGAGTGAACAGCACGTAAGACATGGTCGAAGATAGATAAAAAAAATACATCGATGGATTTTTTTTCAATTGTTCACCATACATTTTTTTTAGCGTTCTCGAGTCCTTTCGTTCCTTCCTAGCCTCTTGTCTGTCGGTTATGCATGCGCGATTATCGAGATCTCCATCCACCTCCACACCACCACCAGTCACCACCATCATAACTGCGATCACTTGACTGTCATCGCGTAATATCCTAGAGAAATCGGCGCGATACGCTCTTGTATTTTTTTTTTTTTATTATTATTAAAACCTATTATTGAAGAAACGCCGACGTGTTTAATATTAAAAAAAAATAAAAAAACAAATTAAAAAAGAAACCGCGAGAGGATATCCTCGATCGTTCCCGTTACCGCGCAAGTAGCAATAATAACACAGGTCGTTAACACCACATTATACTTTAGAGGGAGTGGCGATGGTGGCGGTATAGTGGCATTGACGATCGATCGATTAAATTCACATAACGACACAACTTACCGCACATATTGTATAGGCATTTTCCATGCAAAGTATTAAGTTCTTCGTGTGTATAAGATATTAGCTGTAATATTATAATATTGTAAGCTAGGATATTCATCCTCGAACATTCAAATCGATTATTTATTCTTAAATAGATATACTATTTTCTATCTTGTATATTTATTCAGTATAGGTATGTGTAGACTGTAGGTATTACATTCAATTTTGATGTTATAAAAAAAATATACGGATATTACAACAATTATATTATCAAATATTTCTCCTCAATTTATGTGTTTTTGAAAGTTAGAAAACTTTATATTTTTCAAAATAACTCTAAACTCTAAATTTAATGTTTACAAACACATTTTTATTGTAGTGATTATTTAGGTCTTTTATTTTAATTAAATAGCAACCCATAGACTTATTGGGTTACATTACACTTCACATTCTGAAACAAAATATTTTAATGTGTAAATGCTTAATACTGAATAAAGAACATTTTAATTTATAATTTTATAAGTGTTTAAAGTTGAATTGAGATTATCTGAGAATGAGGGTTGTGAGTGTTTTGATTAAAATCAACATGCATTTTTTTTACTATTCATTTATAAAATACATAACAATATACAAGCGATCATGAATATGATTACATTTTATAATGCTTAATTGGAGATGTGTATGCATTTTTTTAATTAATTTTTAAATCGTATTTATGAAGATGTAATTTACCTAATGAGCGTTTTCGATTTAAGTTTACTCAAGAGAGCGTGTGGTAGGTATCTATAGACGTGAATTATTTAATCACACAAACTACTATGATTTCATATATACATACAATTACGCTCCTATAAAAATATAAATGCCCACTACTAAAATAATTATAAGCACTTGCACTGATTTAATTTTACTGTTAATAGGTATCATATATTTCATGCATCGAGAAATATTATGAAAAATAAATATAATTTTTTTTCTACTATTAATTTTGTGTAATGTTTGATTATATATTATATGTCATATAATTTAAATATAGAGCAAAAAGTAGCTCAAAAGTAATAAACCATTATATAATCACATTATTATAAACCTATTAAACGACGAACGGTTTTTTTAAAAATAATTTTATAAAATATACTACCACTCTGTGTATGATTAAGTGTATTATGGTTATTTATGTATAGGTATATATTATAACGATTCTATACCCAACAAGTGTATAAGGTGCTATATGGCTATCATTAATAATATTGGATTGATTGATTGATTGCAAGTTCAATCGCCTTCGTATTACGTTTTATTTCGGAAATAGGTGTACCTATTATATATACTTATGTTATAGATATAAGTAAAAAAAGTACCTATACAGGTTCCTGATATATAAGTTTAAGTATGGTTTTTAATTTATGTTTATAGGCAAGCGGTTGCAGTACAAATACTATTTGTAAGTATTCCGAATGGCGAACGTCTATCATATTGGACTTTGGTAAATAAAATATAATATCGCTGAACTGATTTCAAAAGGGTTAGTATATTTTATTATTACACACGTATTTCAGGGGAGATCCGTTCCTTACAGCTTATTAACTGTTATACGAACGGATTAACAAGAGTGGCTATATTTTAGCGCAACCACATTAGTATGTACAGCCGTACAGATAATATTTTGTGTATTTAGGTGGACGAACTGCACAAGTCACAACCACAAAGTTAACAACGTAAACTGTACCTATATGGGCTATATATTTTGTGAAAATTTTAATATGACGGTACAGTACTATCTTTGATAGTGATATTCGAATGTAGTGATAAAATTATGTTCATAATATTATGCATGTAACGTTTATGTGTTTTAAGTACTTTTAACGCAGAAATATGCGACATTATTGCAATAGCTCGTTGTCATAATATGTCAGCCCGGGTAGAATATATTATGTACATAGTTAATATATTTGTATATTTATTATTCGGTTTATATACACATAAAGGTAGGTACTAATGTACTATATAGATAGGTAACAGCTACAGCGTTAACAGCGTCCGCCATGCATCACGAACGACGGGAGACAACGGTGTAAGCTGCAACGTATGCATGGTAATAGCTTTTGACAATAATAATCATTATAATTAATTAAAAATGAAATACTTTGTTCCACCGTGTATTTGCTTATACATTATACGTAGCGAACTGCGGCGATCGCAAATTAATACGGCCTCGTTGTATATTATTATTATTTATACATTGGCGGCAACGGCGAACTTTTAGCTGCGGAAGCAATGCGTGTCATGTATATATATATATATATATATATATATTGTATATAATATATACAGTTAATACGATGGGAGGTGTACATATACATTTGTATATAATACACGCACTCTCTCACACACACACACACTACAAATTGACATCAATTAATGCTCTCACACGTACACATCATATTACACACAAATGTGTATAGTACGTGCGGTCCCTCATCCCAGCTCCCGGTACGGATATATTTGTAACGGTGGGTCGTATATATATAAATTTGGCTTATGTGTATATTATGTTTTATTATATTATATACAATTAAACGGAATGATGATATTAATAATCATATTATTATTATTATTATTATTATAACTATAACTATTAGTTTACAATGTTACTGCCGACGACGTAGTTCTCACGCGTATAAAATACACACGTCGTCGCCGCCGTAGGATGAAAAATAAATGTGCAACGGTCTGTACAGTACATGATATTATAATATTATTATTGTTTTATATTATGCGTTATAGTATTTCATTTGCTCGAGCGTATTGAATTTCTTGTGTTTAAAAATTATTTCGAAAGCGTCTGGTCGTATGAATATAATATATATATGTAATAAGATATATACGACATACGTATTGCAATGAACCACGTTTAGGGCTATTACCACCAGGGAAAACATACTACGATTACCCACTCTATTCATATTTATGTGTGTGTGTACGACCCACCCTAAATTTACGTACATATACATTCGTGCATATTATAATATTATATATATTGTGCGTATCTGTTTATGAGTAGTGAGTACCTATACGAATTATAATCCGCCGGAGGTACCGCGTATACTAAATATTACTTTAGATGTTTGTATGATTTTTGCTATTGTGCGTCAAAAACATGATATAAAGTGTATTATGTACATTAAAATATTAAATATTATAACATCGTATTCGTGCGTGAAACTTACTTGAGATGATTTCCGCTTCCCGAAGATTTAGATTTCGCCATTATATATATTTTTCGATTCAGTTTTCTTTGATCGACACACAAGTGCTAGCGATACACAGCGGAAAATATACTTTAGGGTGCGTTTTAAAACCGTTTGGTTTAGAACTTATCGTTATTCCGTATTTATGTGTGATAAATTTATTATTGTATTGAATAAAGAATTGATATATTTTATAATTTAATGAATTATAATATCCTACATAACGTACTCGCACCGCACGGGCGGAGGAGTATAATTAACCAAACTAATTTCAGAACTGTTGTACATTTTAATAGCCACTTACAAAAAGAAAAAAGTTGTAAGATGTTAAAAAAATTCTTGTATTTAAAAACAACTCGAACTAAAGTATTCAAAAATTAATACTCAATTGTTCCTATTCTATTGAAACGCACCTTATACCGAATACCTACGTATACGCGCACCGAGTTTAGTCAATTGAATATTATGTATTCAAAGACCGACGTTGGATAGACAACAGACAACTCTAGCAACAGACTCGCTGGCTACACAATATTGCCACCGCTACCACAGATGATCATCGCATCGCCGCACGCCTACCTATATAATATATATATATACATGTATATACACACATAAAATAAGTGTAACAACAACATCCGCCGCCGACACTTCCACCTCTACCTCCATCACTATTATAATAATTATAGTACCCGTCTCAACAATTTGTATACATACATATATATATATATATATATATTAAGTACTTGTTTTATTTATATTAAAATAAAGATACAATTTTTAATTAAAGTATCTCATCATTCGTATGAGTGTTTGTTCGTCATGATATATATTTCATACTATTGTGTTTGTGATACCGTGTTATGTATAAGTCGTTTTATAGTAAAAATGATTTATTACTATTTTTATTAATGAAATGCCAAGTTCGGATTAAGGGGAAACTTCGTTGGCTCTCTCGCAAATACCACTCCCATCAACCACGATGCGCGCGCATAAGCACCCCGAAAACTGCCACGAAAGATGTGATTTTATATACTGGTTGATTAAAACAAATAATAACAATTCGCTTGAATGTACGAGCCCCTAAAAATATACTGCAAGGGGTTAGCTATGAATGGGAGGGCACACCTATTCTGTCTACCGAATTTTCACGACTATAAACATATATTATGTACCAACGCTGGTTTCACAGCGATACAATTCAATCGTTTTAATAATAAAAAAAGGATCTATTATAAAATACACACATACACCTATATATATATATATATATATATATAATCAATAGTATATAAATTAAAAAATTATATTATAAATGAGCTCACTTCTCTTTGGATTTATTTTCTCCGTTTCCGGTCCCGGTTCCACCGCCAGTCAGCGAGTCGTTCGGTCCGCCGGCGGTTTTCTTCGAGTCCGAAATCGGGCCACCGCCAGTAGCCGTGGCCGGTAGAATACCCGACATGGCCAGAACCGGCACCTGGTCATCGTCGTCGGCGGCCTCGCCGTTGTTGTCACCGCCGTTGTCTTCGTCGTCCGCGTTGTCTTTGTTCGGTTTCTCTTCGTTTTCCGTCTCGTCGGGCGGCGGCAACAGCACGGAACTGTCGTCCGTCGCACCGCCTTCAGCTACAGTGTTGGCCGCCTGGTCGTCGTCCATCATCATTGCGCCGTGTTGTTGACGGTTGAGGTGGACGGGAGACACGGGCGACACAGTAGATCCAGTGCCACCGTCATCGGCCGGCGTATTGGGGGTACCGGCCGCTGAAAGGGGCACCACGAAATCGTCGTCGGGTTGCGCGAGCGGCGCCGACGCCTCACCGTCGATGGGTGGTGGCAGGAAAGTGGTAGTGTTGCTGTTGTTTTGGTTGTCCATCGAAACGCTCGGTGTGGACTCCGTATGAATATTATATTATAGGCACTGGAAAGGCGCTGCGGTGTGTATTATGTACTAGGCCTATATTGCACGCGTGTATATTTACGGCGATCGCATATAATATTAATAATATTTATATTTTGTATTTAAATTATATTTGAGATTGAAATTGGTTTAGTTACAATTACATTGAGCACTAAGCGTTGCGTCGTGAGCAATAGTGTGCGTGTATATAACGCGCCGGTTGTCTCAGCCGATTATGACGAGATCGTCGCGGATGCTGATGCATACGCACTACCTACCACCCTCTGAAGCCGCTGTTCGCGTCGGTGTCGTACAGCCACCGCCAGTGCACCGGGGGAACGATGTATTTGTGGAACACGAGACGATTGCCCTCCTACGCCGCTGTTGCATCCGACGGTAACTCATTTAGAGTCGATGGTACGCGATGCCGGATATTCCTCGCACGTGCCGTGTTGTGTAATGTCGATGGATAATATAAATAAATATTCAATATATATAAAAAGGCATATATATATATATATATAAGGTAAGAGAAAACGTTCACGGTTTTCGCACACACAACTTGCACCCCGTCGTCGTGTTCTGCTGAAAACAATTATTGTGGTCTCACGCAAGACAACTGTTGTCCGTGTGTTTACACGCACCCAACGCACACTCTTATAATATTATATATATATATATTATAAGGGTAATTTCGCTAGACGTTATCCTACATATACTGCAGCACTACGGGTTTAATGGCACAACGACGATGAAAGCACGTCGTGTATGATGTATAGTGATATATATATATACTATACGCGGCAAAAGACGCGAGCGGACACAACCGGCGGACGGACGTTATGTCCGGTGACGCGGATACTACTGCCGCCGACGAGGTGCACAGCCGAGGTGGTCGAGGGAGCGCGGCGGTTGATGTGGACGAGGAAGCGCGGCCGCGTCGGTTGAGGTGGTGGTGGCGGTGTCGGTGTCGTAGTCGCCGCCGCCGCCGTCGCCGTAGTAATAGTCGTCGTCGTCGTCGTCGCCGCTGTAGTTGGAAGCGGCAAGAGCAAGAGCAGCAGCAGCAGCACACAGGGTGGTGTACAGCAGCAGCAGCAGCAGCAGCAGCGTCGGCAGCAAGAGGGTGGAGCCGACGGCGATGTGTGCGCGGTGCGCGCGTAGTCGTCGGCCGCGCGCGGCAACCCAGTTTTGTGGAGCGCGTGAGAATTCGGATCCGGGACAACCGGACGCGCGGAGAAGCGCGGCTATTGACTCGGCCGGCGGCTGCGGATCTGGCGGTGGTGGCGGTGAAGGGAGTCGTGTGGCGGTGGCGCGAGCGTCGGTGGGGTGGGTTTTTGGTGGGTGCGAACGGCGTGCGGAGCGGCATTTTATACATTATATACGGCGAGGGGTGAGTGTGTAGTGCGCGTCGCAGTCGTCCCGGGCTGCTGTGGAAGCTGTGCCGTTTCCGCTCGCCGCCGCCGCCGCCGCCGCCGGAATCGATGATCCCTGCTAGGATACGCGCGCAGCTGTAACGAGCGTTCGTTCGTTAGTGCGTGCGTGTGCCGTCGCCGCCGCCCACGAGCCAGCGTATAATATATAAACGCGATATAGATGTATATTTTTTCGGTTCCACCCTACAGCGGCGGCGGTGGTGTTCCGCCGAGGTTCGTCGTCGTCGGCGCAGGACGACTCCGCCACCGCTGTAACTCGCAGATACAGCAATCGGCGAGCTACCGGCATAATAATATCGCCCTGGCTCGCCCGAGACCATCACTCCCCGCCGCTGACCCACCACTGTCCCACACAGTCGTGTGTGTGTGTTTGTGAGAGATCCTTTTTTCGGCGACCCTCTCATTCTCGTTGTTAAACAATCACCCTACCACCCTTGCACCGCGAACAGAGGCGTACACCATTTTATGGTATTATTATTATATGTACACATGACGTGCAATATCATGATTATAATATTATTTTGTTACCGTGACGGCAGGGCCCGTATAACTACAATGACTGTCACCGGTACCAGTTTTTTATTTTTGGAGTAAAAAAAAATATGAGATTAACTGCAGCTTTTGTTTTAGGAAAGTGTTTGATTTCCCGGTCACTCTAGTATAATTGTGCATAGGTAATAATTATTACATAAAAAATAGTGATTTCTATTACTAATTAAAATAATCAAAATAATGATGAATCAAAAAACAAGATAGGAAATCTAACTCCGAGAGTGTTCTAAATTTCCGGTTTCTAAACTTATTTTGATGCAACGAAATAAACTATTTAATTCCATGTACAATTTATTTATATACAGTAACAACGGTCAACAAATAATGTTTACCTATTATAAAGATATTATTATCTTAATATCAACAATCGTGCCGTACAACTGTGTAATGGTGGACAGACGGACGCCGGATATACAACTATATAAGGGGTTCTCAACTTATGTTTAGAAACCTAAAAATAAATCAACAGCTACCAATTTTACTTCATGTATCTTCCCATAATTTGAATACGACGTAATAATAATAATTATTATTTTCAATTATTTGTAGATGACCGTGACATTTATATAATGTATGCAGGGTGCAAGAACTAGGATTTATAAATTATATGTATTGGTATATTTTTTGGCAGCGTCCTTTTACACCTTTGAATATTTTAACTAGGTACATAATGGTTTGAACATTTTAAATATAAATACAGAACATGAATTTTCAATGGTATATTCAAACAGGCTATATTACCCTCTTAATTTCAGTTTCACAAAATCAGTGGTTTTATTAAATAAAAATGTGCAAATGTTTTTAAAATACAGTGGATTTATTTAAAAGTAAGAGCAACATCAATAATTTATTTTACTAAAAAAGTAAATTTGTAATAAAATGTATAGTAAGATTGTTTTACTTAATAGGGAAAATATTGGTAAAATTCTTGTAGTTATAGGTACTTTCATTAATTTATTATTGCATATTTTAACAAAATAAAATTCATGTTTTACTATTTTGCATATATAAATTCTAGCCTTACTATAAGTTATAACTTAACTTATGATAGGTATTAAGACTAATATATACACACACGTGTATTATGCATGTATTATGTAAAATTACATTGTGTAAATGAGATAGAATACAACAATACATTTTATAATATGGTTTTCACATATATGTATCTTGTCTTGCTATGTGTACCTACACGAATACAGAAGACTGCAGTATACGATATAATAGTCAATATTTGATGGTGTTTTTAAAACATCCACTTCATCTACCAAGGTGTATAAATAAAAGTAACCAAAAAAGCTGAACGACCCCAATTAATTTTTTGTGTACACACCGCAATGCAATGATTAACGAACATTAATTCACTTTAGGCGTGGCTAAACATTTTGCGCCGGGACACCAGACTTAAATGCTAACTGTTTATTTAAGTCGAGTATACGCTACAGCCGACGGGTCTAATACCACACAAGTGGTGTTTACCTAAAAACTACAGTCCAGTACACATTACAAGCGAACATAAATGAATCGAAACTAAAACCAGTATATTCACAATGTATACAGAAATTGCACAGCTATTATAATATTAGGATAATCTGATAATGCAAATTACAGTATAATGTTCTTATTTCGGTTTGTACGATTTAATAAATTAAAACAGTACCTAATGTTCTAATAGAACCCTGAATTTTTTTTCTTCAACATTTCGTATTGCTATTACTCAGTATTACTCCACCCTTACTTTTAGTCCTATCCTGGTCTGCACATGGGAAAAATTATTTTTCATAATTTATAATTATAACATACTGTTTGTATTTTTTTTTTTTATAAAAATCCGTTTTAGGTATTGTCTCAGTTATAGTATAGTATACATTCTTTACCTAATTAGATGTTTTGCAATACACTTACACAGAGGTTGCAATTATAATCTGAATAATATGCCATATGAATACTATATAACAATTAAAAAATAATACCTAACAAACTAATCTTAATTATAGCCTAGGTCATATAACTTTATATCAATGTATATTATACCTAAGTTTTACTCAAAACTCCAAATTGGAAAGCTAAATTTCAAACTGCAGAGTATTAATTATTATAACTTTAATAGGAGTTGATCTGATTCAATATTCAAATTCGTTAATTTTTACTCAACCTACTTATCACATATTTTATTTTAAATGGAAAAGGCATTGTTAAAAAGGTTAAGGATTAAAATTATATTTATTTAGTTTTAACTTCGTTTTAGGTTCTTTATGAGCAATGAAAGTACATTTATTGTTTCACAAAATAAATTGTGTTTTTTTAATTAAATATTTTTTGTAAGTCATCTGCACGTTTTCGAGCTGTACAAACATCTTCAACTTTAAGGGAGGTTTCTAGTACCAATCAAATTGTAACTAGTTGGTACTTGGTGGGGTCAAAAGTAAAAAAAGTGCACTTTTAAATTGTTTAAAGTATCTAAACAAGGTTAGTTTTTAAATTTATTTTGTTATTTATAGAAAATTATAATTTTATACTATTTTTAGTTTTTATTCGAGATGTTCGTTTACATAAATTTGTATTTGCATTTAAAATTGTCGAATAGTACCTAAGTTTTTTTTCTAAAAATGTCAATTTTGAGGTCAAAAAGCTAGATGGTTCAGTATGCAATGTTTATAATTGAATTCAAATTTAATATATTACTGCTGTGATCAATAAAATAACGAAGTAAGTCTGTACAATCAAATATACAGGAGTGTAACACCCCTGGAATTTTTCATTCAGATATAATAAGTAATTTCTCCCCAAGGATTTTTCAAATTACATAGGTAAGTTGGTACATCTTTATATTTTATTACTTGTATAGTTGTATACAATCATTAGATATTACATGCAATAGCGATTTATACAATATAAGTTTAAATATATAACTATAATAACTGCGAAATAAAGTTAAACAGTAGGTAGGTAACTTATAATTATATTCACTCATATTTACATTGATCACTGATTTATGAATAATTATTAAAGAGCATTATGATAAATATATAGTGGTGTGTTATTTACTCATTTTTTCCACAAATCCCTGAATCATATTACAGAGATTTATTTTCTTATAGATATTAGGTATGTGAATTTGTACTTCCTAGGTGAAACTTAAGGCATTTCATTATTTCTGTGTTTCTGTAATTACCGAAGTCACCGATAATTATTATTTGTTGTACCTTTTATACCGGTAAAAATATTATAACCTAACCTAACCTACAATTGTGTCCAGAATTATAATTAAGATATAGGTACTTAAGTTACGCTCTCAAATATATTACCAAAAAATAACAAACATTTCATAATTTATTATCGGTAGGTTCTATTTATAACATTAAACGTTTCAACTATATATGACTACCTAAAGGTGGTTAACTTTTGCAGGTGGCTAATAACATATTATGTACAATTTTTTTTCAAATTGATCTATAATAAAGTATTTAGATATAGTTTTAAATATTTTATTTAAGTTAGTTATTTATAATATTTCTATAGAAGAAACATGTAGATACCTAAAGACTAATTTGACATCAAAGACGCTTACCCTTTCAACCGAATAACAAAATACATTTAACATAATATTGTAAACAAACATTTTTTTTTTTACTGTATGGTTTTAATCTCCGACCGTTTAACACGTGTGTATCGTAATTCGTAATTCGTAAGCGCGCTTATATCTAGCTTTCGATAGCAACGTCGTATGTAACTATTCCGACGAATGGGATAACAGGTAAAATATTATGATTACTTACTGACCCAAAAATTTACTAAAAATGAACGGTAAATGCCTTAAAAGGTCATAGGCCATTCACCCGATACCAAAACGTCGACTAAAGCAACGTCATTATCACAAACTTTGCAAAAAAATATGTACACCAGAAAAATAACAACTTTAAATAAACCTAAAACTACACGTACAGTTGAGTTCTCGTACGTCATTAGTAGGAGATAACGATGTCACCACTAAAATTCCACCATTCGGCATTCACTCCCCTACCAATT